GAGCCTAGCCCACGCACAGGCCCCTCTCCAACACCAGGCGTTTCTGGGAATCTCTGGGGGATATCTTGCAGATGCTAGACTGCTCTGTGGCAGGGCTCTGAGCAGTCCCTTAGGGAGGATGCCAGTGTGAAACCTTGATCCACTGCACTCCTCTATCACTAATACCCAAGTTGCACAATGGCCTATGACACAATAGGGTGGAGTAGGGTAATGGCTGTTTCTACTTTTTTGAGCTCCGCTGCAGTAAAGAAATCCAAATGCAGTGCCCCACTTGATTTCCAAAATGTATATGATCAGCTCTTGCAAGTTTTACCTACGGCCCTTAATCTGCAGAGGAGGGTAGAGCTGGTTAAGAGTTGCACACCAGATTTTTTCTAACTCTTAGTGATATTTCAGCCCAGTTTCTGTATCTTTTGCTGTAATGGTGTGGAGCGAGGGGCATCCCACCTCCCTGGAGCCCTAGACCTCAGGCAGCCAGCAGGAGTATTTTGTCCCTGCTCAGAGCTTTTGCAGCCTCTGCAAAACCCCTAGATACCTTTCCCCTCCTTCTAAGACCTTGGAGGGACATTTTCTTTGGAAATTCAATTCATGATTTGCCTCCCAGAGACAGGATGTGACAGAGACTTCCTCCTTTTGTTCTATCTACCTCGATTTTTATAGCAAAGGGGAGAACAAGCAGCGTATGTCTTAAGGTGGAAGGTGAGTGGGTAATCCGTCACACATGAGCTGGCCCCTCAACTGGAACCAAGACTCTTTACAACAATCATCTCCTTTGCAGCGGAGCTGGGATTGCCAGGACTCATCTGCCATTTCGAACTCTTTGCTGCAATCTGCCAGGTACGGGGCTCATTTTCAGCACCAGTCTAAACTGCCACCTTTCAGAAATGGAAAGCAGAAAACAATGGCTTTTGAAGAGAGAGTGCAGATGGATTGGCCCCATCTTATCAGCAGAGCCTGGCTGCAGGGTGGGGTGCTTGGAGTGTGGCCTCTGAAGATGCCCCTTTAGGCATTCCACCTGAGGAGGCAGGTTTCTGACAGGTCTCATTTCCCCTCCAGCCTCACTGAGGGTCCCTTCTTGGGGCAAATTACATCCCTTAAAGACTAGGGGTAGAAATCCTCTTTGGGGCCTATTGAAATCAAACCAAAGCAAGCTGGTGAGCATCAACTGACAGCTTGTGGAGGGTCAAGCATTGAATGGGCGCTGGAAGGGGAGAGTGTGCAAGAGTGTAAAAGCCCTCCCCCGGGGGCTTACAAGTAGGGCACAGAGAGTGAGAGAAGGGCAAAGCACAGTGCCATTACAAAGCCCAAGCTCCCTCAAGTAGCAAAAGCAAAAATAACCTTTAAAGAGATACTCAAGAGCTGAGAGACTGGAAATCAAGAGACCAGACCATCAGGTGTTGTTCAGGAATTTGGGATGTAGGTGCAGAAAACTGCCATGCAGTTGGAGTGGAGCCAGGGAAAAAATGAGGGGGAAAGAAAAAAGGAGAATTTGGGCTTCCACAGGTGGAAAGTGGCAGCTTTTCTTTGGCACTGGTGTGCACAATCCTTACTCCTCCCTGTATCTTCGGGTGGGAACATCCCAGAAGCTCCTGAGAGAGTAGAGAGAAAGTCCCCACCAGTAAAGCTGAGCTCCAGCCTGAGACCCCATTTTTGGCCATCCTTCCCCCACTAGGTGCTCCATCTTCCCCAAATATCCAATGCATCCAGACTCTTGCCTTTCCCCAGCAAAACCTCCTTGCCCAAACCAGAACCTGAAATCTATTTATACTGTGGTGCAAATAGCTGAGAGCAGAGTGTTGCCCTCACCGGGCACTTGCTCTCTGGTAAGGACCAGAGCCTTTAAACCACAGAAGTCAGAAAGGTTGAGCCTCAGGCAGCAGGTGCGAGTGGAGTGCCATTTGGGCATGACGGGCATTCGGCTCCTCTGAAATCCTTCAGGAATTTACCAGACTGTCTCCCTTCAATGAAAGGCTTCCAAGGCATGTCCTTGTGTTGGGAGCAAAGACATCACAGGGCATGTACCTCCTGTCTGAGAAGATGCTGCTCACAAGCACTGAGGGAGACTCTGGTTTTGAGTTCTCTTATCAGCAGTGAGGTTTTAGGTTTTTATTGGCTGGTTGGCTGGCTGGCTGGCTGGCTGGCTGGCTGGTTGGTTGGTTGGTTGGTCGGTCGGTCCATCTTGGAGCTGACACCTGGGGACTCAAGTCGCTTCTTCAGTGCTCGTGAGATGCTGCCAGGACAATAGCTGTGGTCTGTGGCCAGGGAGTCTCTAACTGGGGTCATGGTCTGGGGGACAGGAGACTGAAGGCACACCCAGCCCTGACACATGGCACAGCTGATGAGGAATTTCTATTCAGAGAAGCATAGAACTCTACCAGCTCCTGTGTGGGCAGGTCACCTAGCCTCCTTGTGCTTATTTCTTTGTCTGTGATTTTGACCTATGGTAATAATAATATTAATACTTGTGGTATAGGTAAGTCCTTAGTACGTACTAAGTTCTCCATCTGTGCTAGTTCTTATTACTGTGGGTGCATGTGTGTGCACGTGTACATGCGCGTGCATGTGTGTGTAGGCGATCTCTTTCTCCTGCAGCCTCAGTGATGGAAATCACATGAGTGTGTCACAATGGATAATTGTGGTCCTGCAGTCATTCCAAGGTCTGGAACACACTGATTGCCCCCTCCCAGGTGGCAGCCTCCTTTGCCCAGGGATATTGGACCATGTACTTCTCCTGGGAGGGGTCCCCATCCCAGCTGTGGGACTAATGACTCATGGCTGCCCAAGGGAGAACCCAAGTTACCACCTCCACAAGTCTCAACTGATTCCTCAGACCCTGGCTAGTCCAAATGGACCCATAAGCCACATCTGAGCCTCTCTTGTTTGGAAGGCATTTGCTGGTGCTGACAGATCCTTACGGCTTTGCCCTCCTGGGGCTCTATGTCAAGAGTCTAGAGGAAAAGACTGACACCCAAAAGAGAGGAGAAGGGAACAGGGAGAGGGAGAGAGAACACAAAGCTGGTGTGTACCTTGCTTTTGGGTTCTTCATTGCTGATTTCCAGGCCTGACACACACGTTCCTACCATCAGCCAAAGGATGAGAGGCTGGACTGTGAGGTGAGAGCCTGGACCCAGGCTGGAGGCTTCTGTTCTGCTGCTACTGTGTGAATAGCTGCTGGCCATAAAACAGCCAGGACTTCTCCAGAAAGGACTCCAACTTCCTTTTCTGACAAGGCCCCTGCTGAAGTTCAAATGAAACCCCTCCAACTTGCCCCCTCCCTGCCTTCCCACCTGCATGCAAGCTCCAGTAGGGCAGGGCCCCCAGCCATTGGCCCACTTGCTTCACAGGCCATCACCCTCCCTTCCATTGTATTCTCACCTGCCCAGGTCCTTTCAGCTCAGGGGTCACCTGGGAAGCCTCCCCTGCCATTAACTCACCTGCCCACACATCTTTTAACCACCCTTCTGCTGCATGACCCAGCAGTGTTCAAGTCTTTTATCTAAACCCTATGGTACCACTGATGTGCGGCTGGGGCTCTGCAGCCACAGGACCCCAGAAACATGTGCCATGTCACAGGGTCTGTGAGAAAAGGAAAACCAAACAATGGAGTGGGGTGACAGAAGGAGGGAGGATGGTGAGGACACTGAGAGTGGAAACTGTGTGGGCCTCCCCCGCCCCCCAGGGTCCTATGATGGCGTGAAAGGAGTGGGATGCAGGCTCCCGAGGAAGATAGAGAGCAGAGAGCAAATGTTTGGGAGGTGGAGGTGGAGGGAGGAGGTACTGACTTTTATTTAAAGCACCCAGGCAACCTATGCGAGGCTTAGCGACCCTCTGAGTCAGCATTGGTTTCTTTCATTGTTCAAGCAAAGAAATAGAGGTTCAGCCAGTTTCAAAATCTGCCCATATTCCCCACGACTAAACAGAGGACAAATGTGGAGAGAATTGTATATCTCCCATGATGCATTGGCTGCTCACACGCACTGGTTATCAGACTGGGAGACATTCCATAGGCCCTCATGGGGGTGTCAGGAGTGAGAGCAGTTGGCCCTCGCCTGCACTGGGGCTAGGTCTCCTGGACCACAGACTGGGGGGAGCTAGATGAGACCACTCCATCACTGTGGCCTCAAAGAGTCACTCGCTGACCTCCTGGAGGCTACATCTGAGGTTCTAGTGTTGTGGGATTCCCAAACGAAGAGACGGGACACTGAGGCTATAAACAGGAAGCAGCGTTTATTGATTCTGGCACTGGCTCAACAAATTCTTATCCAAAGGCTGAGCCCCCATTGTAACATAACGGGCAGTTTTATAGTCCTGTCATCCCTACACAGTTACAGATATAAGGAAGAACATTGGTTGGCAGGCTATACGAAAACTGATGTTAGCAGGAGAGTCCTTGAGGTGGGGGATGGGCAGTCAGGACCAAACTCATTCCAGCAGGAAATGGCCAGGCAGGGTCAGGATGCCACACTAGGACTAGAGGAAGGTGTCCCAGATGTGGTTGAAGCTGGCAGGCAGCTGCCAGGTGTGCACACACTTCTGAACAATCAGAACTCTGTGTTTATTGTTCTCTTTTGGGGACCTGATGTTCCAGGTCAAAGGGAAGTGAGAGCAAGTTTGGGCAGGGAGAATGAAAATGCACGTGAGAGTTTTTATAAATTTCTCTTTACTCGGAGAAAGTCACTAAATCCCAGCTGAGCCCTAACACACTGTGTGGCTCTATTTCTGGCTCTAAAACAATGTGAACCTCAGAAGCTGCTTCCTCTGGGACTCTTTGGCCCTGTCCTCATGCAGATCTGTGAGTCCAAGCAAAGCCAGCAATGCCATTAGCTGTGCTGCATGGTAAAATTAGAAGCAACTCTCACATCCAGCAATGACTTAGAAGCCATGCACTGGGGCTGGTGAGAACCAGACCAAAAATCATTAAGACACTGACAGACCTCTACCCTGATGGGCCGGGTTCCAGCTCTCTCACTTCACCTCAGTATCTCTTTGTCCCTCTGCAGGTGGCTCCACTGCTGAGGAGATGATAGATTTCCCAGTCTTCCTGGACACCTCCCAGCGGGGACTTTGGCCCAGCAGTCTCTTCTTCCTCATCCACCTTCTCCTTCTCCAACCTGGGGAGCCAAATTCAGGTAGCGTATCCCATCTGCAGCCCCGCCAGGCAGGACGTGAGCACATCAGCTTCTGCCCACCCCTCCTGAGATTGTGTAGCCATGCCAGGTGCTAGGACTTGAAAAGATTTTCATCTCAGTGGTTAAAGAGCCACTGAGTACACACTCCCCATGACCCCACAGCTCATGCGCATGGCAGGGGCAGAGCAGGAAGATGCCAAGAAACTCCTATTGGTCTGTGTTTGGGCTGAACCAGTTGAAAAATATTTTTAAATCCACCTGTCCAGCTGTGTGAGCAGGCTGCAAGAGAAATAATTGGGAACACAGCTAAGAGAACAATTTTTTTTTCCAGAAAGCCAAGAAGAGCCATAGATAGGAGGAATTTTTTAAGCAGAACCTTATAGAATACACATTCTCCAGGAAGATGATAGGCTGAGGGTAAACTGAAGCAAGGTGTACCTGGGCCAGGCACCAGGTATGGTAGAGAAAATCTGGAGAGGGAAGCTAGTTGGAAGTGTGTTGGGGCTTCACAAAGTGAACAAAGGCACTGCCATGCTCCATGGGCAACATGAAGGATGGGAAGGATCCAAGAAGAGAGAGCTTGGCTATGGGGTTTTAGATGAGCTTGGGATGAACTTGATCTTTAGCTTTAGAACGAACTCGAGTTTTAGCAGATCTTCAAAAGAAGAAAAAGAAGTGCGCAGAAGCCAGGATGGGCATACCAGGCAGCAGGGAACAGCATGGGCAAAAGAACTGGAGCGGGAGTAGCAACTCTCATGGGAACTGAAGAAAACAGACTAGCTTTGGCGGGGGAAGGGTAGAGAAGCCAGATGGAGACACCATTGAAGAGAATGATCCAACAAAAGATCCTGGTGAACAGATGTCTCCAACGCTAAGCAAACAAACAAACAAACAAACAAACAAACAAACAAATAAATATAAAATCAAGCAAAGAGCCCCATAGATTATTTTAATTCCCTTTCTTGTTACAGAAGCTCTACATGTGCAATATAAAAAATTTAAAAATCAGACAAAGGAAAAATAAGAAAACATCTATTCCCATCATGCAGAAATTAGCAATCCACTTTTTTTTTTAATGACAATTAATTGTTCAAGAAACCTGACAAAGTATCTCCCCTTCCTCATAGCTTTGAATAGTTTACCTTAGATTTCTGAGCTGCAAAGGGATATGATAAAAACTTATATTTGAGCAGGGCTGATTTTGGCCATTGTTCTGGCTTCTCTTCCTAGAGGAAGTCAAGGTGATTGGCCCTGGGGAATCTATCCTGGCGATCGTCGGGGAAGAGGTGGAGTTCCCATGCCACCTGTCACTGTATCTGGACGCCGAGTACATGGAGATCCTCTGGTTCCGGAGCCAGACCTCCGACGTGGTGCATCTGTATCAGGAGCGACAGGAGCTCCATGAGCAGCAGATGGCTCAGTTTCAAAACAGAACCAAACTCGTCAAGGACGACATCGTCCATGGCAGTGTGATCCTGCAGCTCACTGGCGTGACCCCTGCAGATGAGGGCCCTTATGGGTGCCGCTTCCTCTCCAGCAACTCCTCTGGGGAAGCTGTCTGGGAGCTGGAGGTAGCAGGTAATGTGACCTGGTGGAGCCCCAGCAGGGGAGATGTAGGAAAGGGTCCATTTGAATAGAGCTGCTTTGCTCAGAGTAAATAGGGAAGCATAGAGAATGGGAGAATAGCTATGATTTAAAAAAAAAAAAATTCTTTTTAAAGAAAGATACATTAGAAAATGAACAAAAGAATTGTTCACAAAAAAAAGATACACAAATGGCCCTTAAACATACAGAAAGATGGTCAAATGAAAGCTACACTGACATGCAATTTTTTTACCTCTCAGATTGGCAAAAATTCAAAACATCAACCACACACTTGGTGGAGCCTTGGGAAGCCAGTCCTCTGCTCTGCACCATGTTGACAGAGTTCAAAGTCGCAAAGCTCCAGCACCTGGGGGTTTGGCAATAGTTAACAGGACTGTCTGGGCATCTACCCGCTGAACAGCAATCTCACCTCTTGGAGTTTATGCTGAAGATACACCTCCCACAGCTAAATACGAAAAAGGCATATGTATAAGTTTAACCTCTGTAGTGTTATTTGTACTTGCAAGTCAGTAGAAACGACCTAACTGTGCAAGCGTAGGTGTGAGTATGGTCCATCATACAATGGGGTGGTCCACACTACACAGCTGAAAACACGGGGAGGAGGCTCTATGAACGGGTGTGGAGTGATTTCTAGGATGTTATCAAGAGAAAAAAATCAAGATGCATAAGAGGTTCTATAGTATGTAAAATTTTGTTTAAGAAAAAAGGGGAACACTGCACAAAAGAAACACAGGAGGGATAAACTAAAAAACTTATGAAATTAGTTACCTAAGAAAGTGGGATGGGATGGAAAGGATGGAGAAAGGTCCGGGGGCTTTCCTCACATACATGTTTTACGGCGTTGACATTTAAACCCTATTAATGTTTTGCATATTCAAAATATAATGCTAGCTTCAGAAGGATGGGGAGATAAAAGTTTGCATATATCACAGGCCCTTGAGGTCTGGTGGGATTCAAGAGAGAGAAGACAATCTATTGAAATTTGGGAAGAGATTAGTCTTCATTCTAGGATACTGTCCCTTGCGTAATATGACTAAATGCCAGTAGCCCTTTCCGATCAAAGGGCCCCGTTCCATATTTCCAAATGTTTCTCGGAGGTAGTACCATCCCCACATGCCAACACTCATGCAGACTGCCATTTACAGTCCACAGGTAGAGGGCTACGAGCTCACATGTCTTAAGAGCTCTTACAGTACGTGATGTCTTTTGGTGACTGTAAATGATGAATGATGATGTAAACGTCACCCACAACTTCTGGGAAGGCGCCTAATTTTTCCCACTCCTGCCTCTCCTAGGGCTGGGCTCAGACCCTCACATCTCCCTTGAGGGCTTCAAGGAAGGAGGCATTCAGTTAAAGTGCAGCTCCAGTGGCTGGTACCCCAAGCCCAAAGTTCAGTGGCAAGACCGTCGGGGACAGTGCCTGCCTCCAGAATCTGAAGCCATCATCCAGGACGCCCAGGGCCTGTTCAGGCTCGAAACATCTGTGGTCATCCAAGGAGGGGCCCACAGCAATGTGTCGTGCTCCATCCAGAACCCCCTCCTGAGGCAGAAAAAAGAATTTGTGGTCCAAATAGCAGGTCAGTGGGTGCTGGCTCGCTCACATTTTCCTAGTCAACACATCCTGCATGTCCTTTGTACCAAAGGCCATCTATGAGGACACAATGGTACAAGGGTCTGGCTGTGTATGGGGCAAACTGACCTTGACATCTGAGAAGTCAGCAATTTGGATATCTGGAATTTACTAAAGATACAACTGAGAGCTCAAACAGTAAGCAGGCAAGGCCCCAGAGAGCCAACGTTACAAGGCCATGAGCTAAACTCCAGAAACTCTACTCACTGGAGGTCATCGTGAGAGCCCATGTGCTCCTAATGCCATCCCTCAAATAATATTCACTGAACACCCAGAATGTGTACCCAGAATGTGCCCCAAACCCCAGCCCACGGGTTCACATTCCAGTGAGGAAAACAGACAAACAAAAACGTGAATTGCACTTGATCTTAGCCAAAAGGCAGAGAAGTGATAACCAGAGGAGAGAAGGAGCAATTGGGGGGATCGTTTTATAAACTATATAAATGTCTAACCAATGCACTGTGTACTTAAAACTAATTTTTTTTTAAAAGGTGAATTACATTGTGCATTAGAAGGTATTAGGTGCCACAGAGAATAATGAAGCAGGGAAGAGTGCTAAGGCATGGTGGGTTGTGAATGTGGGTTTGAAAGTGGTAGATCAGGGAAGTCAGGCAATGTTTTGAAGGTTAGGCCATTATCCAGAATCAAAGTTTTATTATGAGGTACCCACTGGAAGGTTTAATGTTCAATGTTTTAAGTCTTGAGGACATACCCAATCTATGGGCCATTTTCCACATAGGTCCAAATCAATAATTACATTATAGTCGAAAGAAATCTCAGCCTTAAAAATGATCGTTTGTCCTCAGGTAAGAGGACTTGATGACACACGTAGCTCATTCAAAATCCACCTAGTAATTTAAGTGGCCATCTGTGTTAGCTAATTGCCTTTATCCAAAGACAAGATAAAACATCTCATATGTTTAAGACAAGCATGTAGTTAGTTACAGCTTGGAGCCAGGTGCCTCAGGTAAAACCCATAACACGAGATAGGGGTGATTTCTCCTGGAGGTTTACATTTAAAACGATGACTCTGAGCTCCTTAAAAAAACATTCCTGGGTTGTAAAGCCAGCAAGAGGCTTATTAGCTTACAGAAGGATTTGCATACATCTCAAAAGGATAGAGAAAAGATTCACAAGTTTTTTAAAGGAAATAATCTAAGACAGGGGAAAGGGATAGTCTCAATTTTTCTTTTTAGATTTGTGTTTACCCTTTACAATGAGCATCAGTCACATGGCTATCTATTAGGAGGGCATTAGGTAGTGGGAACAGCAAGCGCAAAGGTCCTGAAATGGGAACGTGTGTGGCTATCAGAGGAGCAGAAGGAGGTGGATGAGGCTGGAACAGAGACCAGGTCAAGGGAAGCAGGCTGGCATCAGCCCTTGCTCTTAATCCCTATGTCAGCGCTTAGCAAACCACCTGTGGTGAAGGACCAATCCTTTGTGGCCCAATACTTTTGTACAAGATAATAAAAACCACTGCTAGACAATTAAAAATAAAAAGAACACATTTTTGCCAAGTGAAATAAACCAGAAGCAAAAGGACAAATATCGTATGATTCCACTCATATGAGGTGCCTAGAGTAGATAATTCGTAGAGATGAAAAGCAGAAAAGAGGTTCCCAGGGGATGGGGGAGGGGAGCAGAGAGTTAGTGCTTAATGGGGACAGATTTCATTTTGGGAAGATGAAAAAGTGCTGGTGATAGTTACACATGATATGCATGCACTTAATGTCACTGAACTGTAAGCTTAAAAATGGTTAAGATGGTCAATTTTATGTTAGGTATATTTTACCACGATAAAAAGGAAAAAAATATATTTCAAAAAGACCACTGAGAGAAAAGCGCCAATTTTTAATAATTATCTTCAACAGACAAAATTATTTAGTTGCCACAAGAGTTTCTAAAAGATTGTCCCTATCTGTTTTTTGACCCTATCTGTTTACTGTCTGGCCACTATCCACAGATGCTCGCTAGGGGATCTGGAGAGGAGGGAGGGGACTGTCTGTCAGTCAGCCCCCACACGGCTTTGCTATCAACTTTTTCAAACGCGTGATGAGAAGTAGAAGCCTAGTGTTTGCAAGACGCGGGTAGATGCTTATGACTCCGGCGGTGCGGATCGAGAGCAATAATTCACTGGGTGTCACCTTGGATTCTCATGTCCTTCAGATGCAAGACAAGAGCGGGAAGAGGTAGAGGGAGGTCAGGGCCACGGTCACCGTCACACAAGTTCTAAGATGGGGGCGTCGGTGGGACCCATCAGCTCCCCTTCTCTCGAATCCTTCACAGCACCGTCTCATTCCGCTGAGCAAGTCCAAGTCCGCCGCAAGTCCAAGTCTCCGGTTCCCGGAGATCCTGCCATCGCCAGAGCGCCACGCAGCCGCTGTCGCGCCCATTTTACAGATGGCTGTGGCGGGACCCAGGGGGCTTAACGCGCCAGTGGGTCACGGTGTTCAGGAGAGTCTGAACTTAGTGTTCAGTGGCGCCTAAATGGACACAACTCCCTGTGGGTGTTTTGCAGACGTATTTTTACCTGCGCCCTCACCGTGGAAGCGAGCTTTCCTCGGGACTCTGGTGGGACTGCCGCTCCTCCTCGCCCTCTTCGCGACGCTGGTTCTGTGCTTCTTTCACAAGCAACGGCGGTCCCAAGGTACCAGCCCTCGGACGCCCGCTCTGCCCACAGGAAGTTGGGGGCTCAGGACTGGGAGCGGGCGTGGGACCCGCAGGCAAGCGCATCCCCACCTCCGCTCTCTGTCTTTCCTTTCAGAAAAGCTGAAGGAGCAGGCGGAGAAGGACAAAGGTAAGTGAGGAAGAGGCGCCCTCTCCGCCCCCATCTCTGCCTAGCCAAAGCGCGGCGCTGGGGTAAGCAGGGGAGTAGGTCAGGCCTGGGGCTTGGGAGCCTGTCAGAGGTTTGTGCTTTTGCTTCCCCCGCCTCGGAGCCCGCTCCTCCTGCGCGTGCAGCCCCCCTGGTCCCCAGAACGCACTGGGACCTAATCTGTGCACTTTGGGGAAGTGAGGCCTCAATGATCATCGACCGAGATTTTCCTCTTTTCTTCATTTCCTCTCCAGTGAAACTCACGACAGAGCTGGGTAAGTTCTGGGTGCCACGCCCACAGTGCTGGCTGCGGGCTAAGGGGTGAACTCTGCGCCCATGATGGAAGGAGGGGTTATGTGACTTTAGGCTCCCTTTAGAGAGCGTTACTTGGCAGCCATCTAACTCTAAATCCATCCCTGTACGGTCCCACTTCTCCACTCCCAAAAGGACTCCAGCCGAGATGCCAAGGAGACCCTCTGGACAGACCCTGACGGCCCCTTCCCTGCCAATTATGCAAATTAGTCACAATCCCATCATTAAACGTTTACTCCCACTGGTTCATCTTCCTATGATAGTCTTCTCTTTTTAATGCAAATGCCACTGAAAAGAATGGCATCTTGAATTTGCACCAAAGTGAGTACGACATAAAGTTAGAATTAGTGTTTAGTGTTGCCTTTCCCGGAAACATTTACTTTGAAAAGATACAGGGCAGAGAAATCAAAGGAATGAATTTCTAGTGGCAAATTATCAGTCTTGGCTCTGGTCAGGAGAAATAATTGAGTGTACCCAGTCAGTGACCCTGAACTCAGGCAGACTGTGCTCGGGACCTTGACTCACGCAGGACGGGGTCCACAGGAAAGCTGGTTATTTCAGGATAGGTTACCAGTAGCCCCTTCCAACCAGACCTGAACCCAGGGAAGAGGCTCTTCAGTGTCAGGATTTGTCCCCTCACCCACACTCCCCAGGCAATGCAGAAACTCAGATGACTAAGGAACATCTTCCCAGTGGCCTGACCGCTTTGGGAAGGTGGTTTCACTCAGCCCAAGGCTGATGTTTTTCTCCATGTGTTCTGCTTACAGGGGAGCTGCAGACAGAGCTTGGTAAGTGACCCCACTTAGAATTATTTCTTCTTGTTCATCTTTTAGCATCTGGTTATTCGTGTATGCTCTCACCTCCCAACCAGATGTGATACCCAGGCTGGAACCCTGCTGTCGGTGCTGGTGGCAGGAGAAAGGGGAGGGGGGCAGGGGTGGATGTAAATGGGACATGTGAGCAGGGAAGGTGCAGGAACATGTTGTTCTAATTCCTTTTCCTTGGCTGTTTCAGACTGGAGAAGGGCTGAAGGCCAGGCTGGTAAGTGAAGCTAGTTTCTCTCCCATGGTCCACCTTACATCTCAGCATCCCAGTCACTTGCTTTGATTAACCAACCACACTTCCTTCCAGTTTGTTCCACAGCCTCACTCAGCACAAATTAATATATGTCACCAGTAGAGGTGATATTCAACTTTTGCTTTTGTTTTGTTTTTATATTGTCCTGAGGTGTAAGCGTAAACCATCGGTGCCAATGCTGGTTGCACATAAGAATCCCCTAGGCTACTGGAGCCCACCCTTAAAGACTGATTTGTAGGTCTGGGGTGAGCATGTTACCCTATATGTGAACATTTGTCCCTGTAACTCTCCATTTCCCCCATAAAGCAACCAGTCTAAGGTCTATATTGTACATATTCTTGCAAAACGTGAATTTCTGTTTTGTGCAAATGCATTTTAGCTCGTGTAAATGACTCCCACAGTCTCGTGCTATTCCTGGCTTTTCTCACACGTCACTGTATTTTAATATCCATCTACCATCACATGTGCATCTGGTCTGTTTCTCCTTCTTGTTGCTGGAGCGCTCCATTTCAGAGAGCTACCGTCCTGTAGAGACAGCCACAACTCTGCATCTAACTCCACATTGCTACAAACAACACAAACATGTCGCCGTTGGGTCCTGTGTGGAGGTTTCTTTGGGATGTATACCTAGGAGGGGAATTGCTGGGGGTATGTCACTGAGTGGGATAGCACTATCATCCTGCCCTTGGCAGTGCATGGAGGCTCCGGGTGCCCACATCCCACATGAGCCAGCTTTCTAAGTTTCCAGTCAGTGGGGATGAGTGATTCACTTGTGCTTTCAGTCTGCAGTCCTCTGAACACTAAGAAGTTTGGGCATCTCTTAAATGCTAGTTGGCTTTCCTGGCTTCCTCTTCTGAACATTGCCTGTTCGTGTCCTTTGCCCATTTTTCATGTGGGGTTACTATCTTTTACTTAATGATTCACAAAAGTATGTATGTGTGTGTGTGTGTGTGTGTGTGTGTGTATATACATATATGTATGATATTGATCCCTCATTGGTATAAAATATTGTGAATTCCTTTTTCTATTCTATCATCTGCTATTAGCTTTGTCCATGGTGCCTCTTATTGAAAAGAAGTCATTAATTTTGATAAAATCTATTTCATCACATTTTTACCTCATAGCTTATATTTTTGAAATTTTGTTGAAGTAGAGTCTACTTCCTCATACTTAAGTCACAAAGATTCTCTTACACTTTCTTCTATTTATATGTGTAGGTCTTCAATCTGTTTGAAATTCACCCCTGTATGTGGTGTTAAGTAGAATTCAGTAATTTTTCTCCATAGAGTTGATTTTCCCAGTGCCATCTACAACAGCATCTGTGATTTTCCCATTGATGTGGGTGTCATCTTTAGGGCATATTTCGTTCCCACGTCTAGATAGGTCTTTCGGCCACCTATTATGTCATTGTTTCTAAAAGCTATAGCTTTTACAGTACTTGAAAGTACAAGTTCTCCAGTTCTACTTCCTTTTTAAAGTTAAGGGATTTTTTTTTTTGCATTTTAAATTAATTTTAATTTTGATCATAGTAATACGTGCACATTGTTTAAATGGCAACATGACAAAAAGCAGTCCTCTAACCCACCCTTTCCCAACTCCTATTCCTGTTTCCTTGTGGTAACCACTTTCAATTGTTTTAGCTGTTTCTTTTGCTGTTTATATCCGTTTTACGTACAATGTGCTTATACTGTTATTTCTTGATTTTTAAATTTTAAACATTATTTACTTACTTCCCTCTATGGAAGATGAGGAATTACCTATTTTTTCCCCCTGGCTTTATTGAAATATAATAGACAATTAGTTGCTCGTATTTACATTGTACAATTCAATGAGTTTTTTTTAATTATAGTCTGCATACAATAATATATTCATTTCTCTCCCTAGTGGTAGTGCTTCTGTTCATCTAGAGTTTGCTCATCTAGAGTTTGTTCATCCAGGCGAGTTTGCTTGCTGTTTGCTCTGTGTTTCTGTCACAACTCTGTCTGGTAGCAAGAAGGATGAATAAAGCCTCTTTCATCTACACCATTTCCCCCCCACCTCCCATAATGGACCTTTTTAAAATATAAATTTTAGAATAAATTTATGAAGTTCCTTTAAAAATATCCAAAAGTTGTTTGCATAGGAGTGCTTTGTATTTATAGATAAATTTAGGAAGAATCAACCTCTTTATAAAATTGAGTTATCCCACGCAAGAGCTATGTTTTTAAAATTCTGCTTGTTATTCTCATAGAAAACCAGAGCTGAACAGCCGTTCTGTAAATTATGGAATTCTGAAAATGTCTTCTTTTGCTTTCACTATTTTGTGACCTAATGATCTCTGTTATAAGAAAACAGAACAAGATGAAATGAAGCAGAAATCCACTCAGAATGACTCACGTTAAGAAAGGAGGCAAGACAGGGTGTCTAGAGGACATGTTAGGACAGGAACCAGCCTCAACTGATAAAGCCTGTCAGTCAGAGACTGAGGCTTTATCTCCATACTTCAGGGCACCCATGCCACTTGTATTGGTTCTCTTTGCTCACATGCTCTGTTCTCTTACTGTTCCCAGCGCAACCTCAGCCTGCATGCAGCTTTTGTGTAACCCAGCACTGACACCAGCTCCTAACTTGATCCCAAATCCCAGGGAAAATAAGGTGGTGGACTCAGGCTAGTCTAGACCCAAACCAGCTGTCATGGTGGAAACAGGATCATTCAGTTTGATCATGTCCCTTGTATAGCTTGAGCCTTCCTCAATGTTTCCGAGTTACTGACTCAGCTCTCTCAGCCTCTTTTCTCTCTGTGTTTGGTTTCAGAGTGGAGAGCAGCCCAACAGTATGCAGGTAACTGGAGCCAAGGAACTCAGCCTTGGGTTAGCTGGATCTTAAACAGAGGGAGGTGGAAAGACCTGAGATTAGAGGAAGAGTCTGTCCAAAAGCCCAGTATGAGCCTGCACACACGACACGTACTCTTGCATATGCACGCATGCACACATACATGTTTGCATGCACACATGTGATTGACTCACATGTGCACACACTCCTGCAAGCAGATAGCTTTCTGGGTTTTACTTGGTCTTTCCATCTGG